TTTGGTGTAGCATATTCATAACTAAATCTAAATCTGAGATTTTATTAAATCCTTAAATGAAGACATCAAATGACTCCTAAAGTAAACTTTTTCCCATCTCTTCCGTTAATTAAATTCCTTCCAAGAAAATCAAGTTAAATCATTAATTTAGAAATTATGAATGTTCCATCCCTTAATTAAGAAAGTTAAATCCCGAATTCATCCTCAATCGGAAGTTGCTTAAACAGATTCTGCAAACATAAGGAAATATTTACATTTAATTTGATGTTCGAAAGGCAAAAGTTTATGGATTGATGCTGAGAAAGTAAAAATGCTTATGTATGTAAAAATAAAAAGGAAGTAGAGGAATGTAGATTAGATGTGAAAGCACATATAGGAGATTTAGGGGTTGTTTCCTTTACCTTTCCCATTTTAAACCGAGAAAGTAATTTTTTAAAAAGCGGCATTTTCAGGGTTGAAAGGATGAATAAATTCACCAAAACAGCTGGAACGCTCTTTAAAATGTTAAAGTAATAATTAAATTTTTGCACGCTTAATAAATATCAAGTTTCTCTTAAACAAAAACCTCAAGTTCGGTTTAACATGAAGCGTGCACATGTGTGGATGTTTGAGGATATAATTAACCAACTAATGATCCCTTCGTGTGCATTAAAAAGTGGTTTAGAGATTGATGTTTTATTTTAATTAATTCAAATAAAATATTTGGGTCAAAGATTCAAATTTAATTTAAATTTGAAAAGAAAACTCTTCACAATGTCAGCTGCTGATAGAATGTTTATCAGCTTTCTCATCAAAATATCTTCATGCATTTCTTATTCTTTCGAACTTTTGCCTAAAGTTTAAGAGAAGACAAAGTTTTTTTCATGAATAAATGTTTTTCATTTAAGATACTTTAATAAAAAATGTAAGGCATGTAAACATCAAAAGGTATGAAATAAAGATCTGAAGAATTTTTCGTGCATAAAATGACATATGAATATTTTAAGGTATGTTTTCTCTGCCTGATTTGCAAATGTTTAATGCTACTTCTGAGAATTTCGCAGAATTTTTTGAATATAAAGCATTGGATTTAACATGAAAAGTCAAAACTAAAAAAACTGATTAAAGGGTTTCAAATATTTATGGATGATTAACTTACAAACAAAAGCTTCAGAAAAATTAATTTAAAAAAATTGCATTTAAAAAATTTAAATCTTTAATAATTTTAAAGAGTCATTAAAGTTATCCAAAAAACCCTTCAAAAATAAAACTATTGATAACTACAGGAGAAAAAATGTTGTCAATGACAACCTAAAAGTTTTGAAATCTTTAACAGAGAGAAACTTTAATTAAGTAAAGTTTACTAGTGCTAATTGGATTCTCCTTCATTGAATTCAACTTCATTTGGACTGTTGCTAATTTTGCTTCAAGTTTTCTTGAAGTTGCCTAATTGGTAGGCGAAAAATATTTTTTGAAGCTTCTAGGCATTTTAAAAACTCCAAAACATCGCCGAATCATTAACAAAACTTAATTGAACAATCATGCCAACATTATTTATTTATGAATAATGAACTTTTTATGGTCAAAAGCTCCATTGTAAGCACAAATAAAGAAGTAAATTTTCTTACAAGACTCACTTCATTGTTTGCCAAAATTATCAATTTTTCATAAGCATGTCCACTAACAGGATGATAATCTTAAAATTACATAATGCCTTAAATTTTCTAAGAAATTAGCAACAAAAAACGCAAATAAAATTGAAAATACTCAAATTTTTGTTACACAAAAACTTTCAGATAATGTTTTCCTCATGTCAACAAAACCTTTTATGCTTGACATTTTTTTTCCCTCTTGATATTTAATAAATGTTTTGTTCATAATGATGTCTTGATGAAAACCAGCGAAAACATTGTCTTTTTTTCTTGAAATAAATCTTTGACATTAATAAGACATGAAAAAATTGTTTGGGATTATTTGTATAAAAATATGTATTTGTGGAAAAAGGAAGGAAAAATTTTCGGTTGCAAAGATATTCTTTGTTAGGAATCTTAAAAACAAATATAAAGAGGATTGATTTTTGAATCTATTGATTAAGTAAAAGATCCTGGATGTATAATGTGAATATATAAACTGTCGTTTAATTTCTAAATTGTATTTGCAACTATATTTAGTTGTTATCCTCTTGCATAGTGGTAAGCCTCTTCTCAGAAATAAATAGTCGGTTTTTGATCACTGAAGAATAAACATTGTTGTTATGAAATTAAATCCTCGAATTAAAGGATTCTTTAATTAAACTTATTCTTTACATTATTATTATTATTATTATTATTATTTTTATTATGGTCCGTATTAAAATTAAAGGACCTTTACTTTCTTTTTGCTTTCAATTATGTATAAAGGAAAAAGCACTCTGAAGAAGTACTTAAACTTTCCAAATGCATAAAAAACCTTTCATATATTGATTTCTTATTTACAATGCTCTTTTTCAATAGTATTCAGTATAACATAGCTAGTGTAGTTCAAATTTCATCGTATAAATTTAATTCTTTTAAAACCTCGATAACATTCAGTAGTATTTGTTTTTTGTCGGTCTTTATATTAAACGCATTATAATTATCTACCCTGAATTAGTAGACTATATATACTATACTACTCTCTTTTGAAATTACCGAATATTTATACAAAACATTCAATCAAGCTACTATTTGTGATTTTGAGCAAAACTAGCCTCCTTTGAGCAAAACTAAATTTCATTAAAGCATTTGACATAGAGAAATTTGCATCTGAACTGGAATTTGCTATTTTGTAAACAGCTTTGACATCATCTAAAGTAAATAAATAACAGAAAGTGTTGGTAAATAATATCAAAATCCTTTGAATCACAGATTATTGACATAAAACTTTGCTATATGATAACTAAGAGCCAATTTGATTGACAAAATTTTAAAAATACATATCGAAACTACGAATAGCTCAAAAAAATTTCTTCACTTGAACACTTTTAACGAAAAGACAACCCACAATTTCTCTCATCTCATCCTTTATTAATGCTCAACAGCTTTTAACATATATTGATGGTGTAATTCAATATAGCTTGCAGAAACAATAAAATTTTACCTACCGATACCTTTCATTTCATGAATAACCATGAATTCAATAAAATATCGAAGCTCAAATTCTTCCTTTATGTTTTATGATTGCTTCATCAGTATCACGTACCAATATTTTACCTCAAATCTGATCATATTAAACGTAAATTGATTTATGGAAGATTGAGACAAGACGAACATTATACGTACTGCATATCAATGAATACTTCTATATTGTTGAGACTCTTACATAGATATTGATGCATATAAAATATTTTAGGGATTTTTTCTAAGGTAAGCCATTATTTCAAAGGGTTTACTTTTCAGTTTGATCTATGCTGCAATTTATTTTTACTCAAACGATGCATTCATGTTGATCACCTTTATACCAAAGTGAATTGTAATTTAAAACCTAAGCAAATTATTCATTAAATGCTGGATGCAACGCAATATTCCATCCTAAAATCTCCATTACTCTTCCTTTCAAATCGAGTCCAGGAACATCCAAGTTGAGAGAAAATTAATTAAAATTGAAAGCTTTTCAAAGATGAATTTAATTAAACATCAAAAACCGGAGAGAATTGAATTTGCTCTCAATTGATTGATGCATGCACATCATGTTTATTGAGAACTTACATCCAACACGAAACCTTATATAAAGATATTGCTGGATAGACTGTGTGGTATTAAGCTATCAAAATTGATGATCATAGACTAATGGATCAATGCCTGTTTACAAGCAAGATTATACGGTTATTACTTATTTAACAATGTTACAAAATTTTACATCAAAGAATCAACATTCAATAATAATCCTGAAAATTCTTAAAATTCAAAACTTTATTAAAAATATTTTTTCATTATTTTTCTGAATTTTGTGTAAATTTTATTTCTCATCTCATTAAAAAAATGTTTTATATTAAAATATCCATCATAAAATATAATCTGTGATTAAAACGAAAAAAATCATAAAAAAAATTCATTTTCATTTGCCTGTTAAAATTCTTGAAAAACTGAAATAATTCAGTTTTTTTTTCTTCATCAATGCTTGGTTAACTTTTTTTTTGTCAATTTTACAATTTTTTAATAATATTATTTTAATTTTATTGATATGAAGCTAGAGATTTTACTACTCTAAGCATTTTAAATTGAAATTTTTTATCACATTTAAACTTTTTTTTTCTTTCATGAATTTTTGGAGAAAGAATTGTAAAGATTATTTTGGAAGTGGATATAAATAATGGAAAAAAAAACTTAGTGCAACAACGTTTTATTGAAAATTCATTTCTGAAGATTTGATTGAAGACTTTTGATGTTAAGTCTGAGTTCTAATCATGCAATTTTCTAAGTTAAGCATCTCAAGAGATACAAATATTAATATTGTTGAATTTTATGTGTTTTAGATTTTAAGGTTGATGATCAAGTAAAAACAAATTGACGAAATTACAATAAGTTTAATACCTCAAATACTTAAAACCCTATTTTATGCAAAACGATTAAATTTTCTAAAACATTTAATAAACCAATAAATAAAATACTAACTTATTCATATAAAATCTGACCAAACAATTCATTAGAAATCCTTTCAGACCATCATAATTACATTCATCCTCATTTCCATTGTAATATTTTACTAAACACCCACTCCAACCCTTATCCATTGTATGGAACTCAATAAAATAAAATTTTCATCATTTCAGAAATGATAATAGACTTTTAAATGAGACCACAGGGATATTTTAATCATCAGCATTATCAGATGTTCTTCTCATCTTGTTTGAATTCCCAACATTCATTAAAATTGAAACTTTGTTTAACTAGGAAATTCAATCATTTTGAGAGAGAAAAAGTTTCATCGCTATTTGATATTTCTGTGAAAAGTTCCTTGCGATCAAATTGTGAAAACAATATCAGGGTTTATTCTGTTTAAAGGTTGGAATGTTTTTAATAATTCAGGATTTATTTCATTTTTTTAATGATTTAAATGTGAATTCTGATGAAATCTCGATCGAATATTCAAATTAGTATTTTATTCAATTGTGAATTAATTCACAGTGTTCTAAATTTACTTCAGTTAATTTTATGTCGTTAAACTTTCAAATTTACACTAAAAAGTTGCACGATTCAATCAAAAAAAGTTCAACATAAGAATTACAAAACAACAAATTCAATTAAAAAGATCAATTTTGCTTGTTGAGAAATTTTCATTAAGGAATCAATCCTCAAATCAACATTGATTGTGACAGCAAAACTCATTTCCATTCAAACTTATTGTTCAAGTGAGATAGAGAAAAATAGAAAAATAGATCTTGTTGTTTATCATTCATCGAAATTAGAATATAAATTGAGTTTTAATTGATGGATGGAAGAAGCAGAAGCGGAGGGAAAAGGAATCGAAAAAAACTTTTTAATTTCCTTTTTCTTCTTTAATTTCTGGATATTCTAATTTTGCGCCTGGCTCGCACTTGAAGATTGGACAGCAGTGTGGGAATGGAGCTGTCTTGTTTGTTGCGTCTGTGTCAAGTTTGCACTTGTCATTGGCAATTGGGAGTGGACCACAATCTTCAACGAGTTCGAGCAATCTGAAAAGATATAAAATAAAGCATTTAATTTTTGTAGCTTTTTAAAAGAAATCTTAAATAAATTACTTTGGTGGATTGTGGTCTGAAACGACGCATGTTGAACGTCCACAGAATGGAGCCAATTCCCATGTTTTGCCTGGTTCAACTGTTGCACAACGGGTACTGGCGAAGCACATTCCAGGGAAATCTAAAAATAATTGAAAAAGAAAAGAAAAAATTACTTAAAATTGAGCTTGCAAAAAAGAATCAAATAAAAATTTCAATTTCAAGCTTAAAAAAATGAAGCGAGAAAAAAAAAGTTTTCCATTTCATTTAATTCGAGAAATGAACGAGAAGCTCGAAGATAAACATTAACTGCATTCGCTTAATATAACAAACTTCAAAGTTTATTGAGAGAAAGAGAATTGTAAATATCTCAGATATCATGTTGCAACTAGCAGAATGTTCGAGCAACGAAAGGTTTACATGAATGAATGAGCTTGTTTGGTTGTTTGCATTTTACTTTATGAAGACAATTCGATTGCGAAATAAATTCGACTATGCAATTTTTGTATTTTAAGTGGGTGAATATTATTGGGTTAATGGAGTCGCTGAGGGTTATTAAAATATTAAATTCTTTCCGCATTTATTATAATTTTTGGAGTTTAAACAAGTTTATTGTAATTATGACTCGAATCTGTGAATTTTTTTGAAAAACTTCGTTAAATATTTGACTTTGAGAATTGTTTTTTGTAAACCATTTGATTGCCATAATTTGTAAACTTTATGCAACTTAATGATTTATTAAAGTAACCTAATCTATGAATTCAATATTACATTGTTGCAGAAACCCTATAACAAGTCATGAGCACAAATGTACAAATGTTTGTCATTTAAAAAAATTCAATAAATCACAGATTTCTTGAAATATCATCCAACACATCCCACCCTTGTAAACAAACATTCAACAATCAAAAAAATAACCAAAGAACTTCATTCTTTCTCATTTCTATTGCTTATCATATCACATTACACCTTGAGATGTAATAGAATTCCATTCGAGCGTGTTTATGAAGAGAAGAAAAAAAATGAGAGTTCTGCATTAAGCACTATAAAATTTACTAGGTTATGGAAGAGTGAAATGAAAGAAAAGAAGTAATAGATAGAAAATAAGTTTGCATTAAATGATACAACGAAATGAAACTTGTTTAACTTGCAACTTGAAATCTCAGTTTGGTTCAGAAACAAAGAATAAAAATGGAAGAAAAAAAAATCTAATTTACAGTAGCATATTGCAGTAGCACTTATTAAAATTGAGATTGAAATTGAAAAAAGAAGTGTTGTTGCAGCCAATTGTGTTGTGACCTAGATCTGACGATTTTTTTGAGTCAGTAAAGCTTTATCTATTGCTCATTTAATGTCGCGTGAAATTCTCGATTTTTATGAGTTGCTTTCAATTTCAATCATTTTATTGCTCACTTTAACACATGCGAGTCAAGCGAGTGTCGTGTTTATGCGCAAAAAAATGATTACAAGCATCACGTCATGTTTGATATAATAAACATTTTCATTTACTCTCCTACTCTCTTTTCTGATGAAATGACTGAAAAAAATAAGTAAACAAAATCATTTATGCTTATTTACTTTTATTTGCGTCGAGCTATTTGGAACAGCTTAATGGGATGTAAAGCGCATTTTATTGGATGTGTAAAGGTTTGTTTAATGTACAAAAGGGATTTTGGGAGATTGTTTTGGAGATTAAGATTATTTTTAAAAGTGTTTTGATTTAAACTTTTTAAAATCAAATTTTCAAAAAGTTAAATTAAAATCTCAAAATTTCATTCAAAAATGTCCTTCAAAATCCTATTAATCCCAAAATTTTCGATATTTAACTATAAAGGAATTTTCATTTAACCGAAGCTACTTAAACTCAAGAAACAAAGTCGTTGAACTGATGTTGTGCTCAAACATTTTTTCAAGTCAATAAAAATGAATGACTTTACATGACACAATAAATTTCACTCTACTGCACGTGATACTTCTATCAAAATTCATTTATCGATTAATCCATGGAAAATAAAGATGTAACAAAGTAAAATAAGAAGCAGCATGTCGGAAAAAATTTAATGATTTACAGAATTTCTCATCTCGAAATCCTTTAAATTGCTTTTTCGTGCATGATTCTCTGACATGTGCAGGTTGCCATGTCCTTGTGGGAGTTGTCAGAACATTTTTTGAAGTAGGTGAAGTTTTGAGGTATTTTTGAGCCAGCTACATATGAATGCAGAGATGTCTTAAGTATTTTATTATATCAAATTTTTAAAAAAATTCTCAAGACAATAAAACTTAAATTTTCAACATTAAACGCCAATAAGCGCTAAGCTTTTGAGGCTATAAAAGAAAAAAAATCCAATTTTTGATTTCCTTGTAAAAAGCTTCAAAATTTCAATCTTGAACTGATTTTTCATACAAAATTCCAATCAGACCCCCCCCCTCCCCCTCAAATTCATGGATATTTACAGAACTAAGTTTGTATAAAATTTTGTAAATATCTACATTTTCATCATGAATTTAATAACATATCCCATTTATCTGTAAAATATGTGATTGAAGTGAATTAAGAGCTACATGTTGATCTCTTTTTATAAATGTATTTTCTAGTCACAAAGGGATCTTGTTGATCAAATTTGTTAAAAAATCGTCTCAATTCTTCGAAGAAAATTTGTTACGATTTTGTAAATAACAAAATTGAATAAATCAATTTAAAATTCAATCAAATCATTTCTGTTTAATTTCAATGAGCATCTTGACTTTGAGTTTGACTAAGTTTATTTTTTAAAATTTTATATAATCTTTGATCAATGAAACTTACTTTAAAAACTAAACAATTTACAAATTCTTGAATTTTTTGATATGTCTTGAACTCAATAAAGAAATAGTCAGAATCATAAATGAGCTTATTCATCGAATCTCTTTAATTTCTACAGCAAATATTAATATCTTGATTAATATTTTCTTCGTAATCGAATTCAAAATTCGTGATTGAAATTCAAAAAGAGCTTTTTAATGGAATTAAGCATTAATCAGCATATGAATTGATCGCATTAAGCATCTCTTTTCCTAGAAAAAAATTCAATAAATTAAGCTCTATGGAATCAGCTTCAATATGCTAAATTTATGTAAATGTAAATTTTTCATTCATAAATTTGTAAAATATTCAATTTCACTTCATTCAACTCCTTCATTTTTCAAATAAAGCATGCTCTCAGTTCGCCAATAAATTCTGATTTATAATGAAAAGATTTTTTTTTGCTTTTGGTTGAATTGCATTTGATTTATCTTCCACTTCACTTAAACTCTTTAAACTTAATGCATAATAAATCACGTTGATCAACTTACTATGTACAATCAGTTCCTTTATTATGAAGTTTAACAAGGCAGTCATACTTTGGATGTTAAAATTTTTAAAGCTTTTTTTGTGTTCTTTATTTTTGAAAATGTTTTTTTAAATTTGAATTTAAAACTCTTCAAATTTTTGAATAGTTTTTAAATAGTAAAATTTTAAATGTCCTAAAATATTCAGGTTTCAACCAATTACAGTTTCCAAGCATTTTACAAAATAAACAGCTAGAAAATGATGATGGTGAGGTTAATGTTGGAAGCAATTCAAGTTTGTAAAAAAAAGAGTAAGCAATTTATCGATAATTGAAATCACTGCTCTTTTGACGTTAAAAAGCTTTTAAGAGATGAACTTTCTTTTTAAAGAAGATTGAAGACGATTTAGGGGAAGTGTGCTTCAAAGATGTTAAGCTTGTGCCAAAATTCAAGGAGATTCTACAATATTAATATATATCGCATGATGAATATTTTCTAAATTATAGATTAAGGCATTAAAATACCATTATTTAATGCTCCTTAGCAACCATAACTTATTGCATAACAAAACTGACTCATATTCTCTCTTTAAAAAAGAAAGCTGATTCGCAATATTTGAATTTAAAGTACCGAAAAAAAGAAGCTTAACTAAATGAGGCAAATAGTCATTGACATAAGCGCACACGACGTAAGTTGTGCAGATAAGGTCGCATCGGTTGTGCAACATGATTCATTTTAATGAAAGTGAAATTTCGCGAACCAACAACTGAGAGCGATGGAAAGAAAATAAAAAAAAAGATATTTCAGCAACTCTCAATTTCTTTCGTAATTTCTTTCATTCCATCTTTGAACAAAGCTCAAGTCATTTCTTTTATTATTTATTTTCAAGATCGTGTGTGGGATTGGCAATAAAATAAAATCAGATAATAAGAAATTGACAGAGTATTTTGCAAGCTTCCCTTTCACCGCAAACACGTATGGCATTAAGTATCTTTCACTCATCTAAATTCAATTTAAATTACTTATTCTTCTGATTTACTTCTGATTATGAATAAATTTTGAAAATTTGAAATTAAATGCCGGAAGAATTGACATGATTTATTCAATTTGTTAAATTCAAGGAAGTTGATTGAAAAATTTACTGACTTAATGGAATCATTAGCACGTCACGTTGCCAATTTACAATAATTACAAGAGATTTTTTAAGCTTGTTTTTTGCCTTTATAAGACGTAAACAGCGTTTAATGCAAATAATTAGCATAAAAAATTGGATTTTAAACAAAAACATATAAAAAGTTGTTTTTGAGCTATAAAGTGCAGCTGAATATTAAATCGTGCATGAAATTGGCATTTTTTATAGCTTAATCATTGAACTTGATATTAAAAGAATTGAATTGAGTTTAGTAGCCAATTAGACATATTTTAAGGTATTTATAATTGAGTTAATTTTATTATATTTTAAACAATTGAACCTAGCACAATTGAAAAGCCAATACAATTTAGTAATTTGCAATTTAGCTTGAATTGATACAAATTAGTCGGAATTTCTGAAGGTTCTTCCGATTATCGCTATATTTTTAATTTGTCTGATTTGTTCGAGATTTAAAAATGTTGATTTTAAAACTTGGTGCTATTTGGTCAGGCATTATTTTATATAAATTTATTTTAGGTTGTTTATGGTCATGCTTTGGAGATTTCCATATTTAATTTTGGACTATTTCTGAATGGAAAATCCAGAAACTTTGATTATCATTAAAATGAGCCAACGTGAGTAGAGTTCTTGGAATAGACTGAAGGATAATATTTGGTTAAAACCTACTAAGTTTATGAATA